GAAATCATTGAAAGCTAATCACTTTAAACTGTTAGTTTTATTTACACAAAGAACAAACTTGAGCTGTATTGTACTATAATTCTTATCACACCCACTAAATTCTAAATGCAAGTCCGTCCACACAGTGGCAGACAATCTAAATAATGTTTATGTTTGAAGCGCTATTCTATTATCGATCGTAGATTAGTCTCAAAGACATCCGTCTATCACGCGTTTCTGAGTTCGATCATCACTAAAACATAGTACTTTGTGTTAAACTAGAAACCAACCAGCCAATCGATTGGACAGACGGGTCACCGAATAAATATTGACATATATATACACATATATAACATATATAACATATATACATATATATAAATATTAATTAAAGGAAAATCAGCGATTGGAAACTGTTTAAGAAAAATATAATTTTTAATAAACATATACCAACAACTTCAGAACTATTATTTAATGTCTTGAGTGCGCCTAAGTGTATACTACAAACTCATTAAAGTAACAAAATGTTATGTGAAGAAAGCAATCTTATTTAAGATGTTCCAGTAGCAACCAATCAGCACGCAACGTTCCCAATAGAATCCAAAATTGCAGATATCTCCAGGTCACAACAACAATAAGAGCTAAAATGTTGGGGGAGAACAATAATTAATAAAATGAATAGTCAGGTAGGAGATGATTGATCAAATGTCATGATCAAGACCTTGACTCGGATTTTTTTTCATTCCGATTTAATTAAAATTTTTATATTGGTTCGCTTAGGGTTTTCGTTTAAACACAAATAACGATTGCTAGCGCTATCACGCTATTAGAACGAATATTTGTATAGTATTTGGAGAACAGTCGTGGTCTCCATTGTTTACGGCAGAACAGTGCACAAGGCTTTTATGTATGTACTTTGCCTTTAACACCTTTTATAACGTTCTTTAGTCGTTCTGATATTCGAGTTACGTTTTGTGCTTAAACATGACTTCCTCGATATATTGATGTGTACCCATTAATTGGCACAGCAATGATTGTCATATTATACTTAGTTTTATCATGTAGATGCCTGCATGGTAAATGTTTGATATTTGAAAATTCAAGGTGATCGATACTGGTCAACGTTATTGTCCCAAATGAGAACTGTGACATCAGAGACTTTTCGTTGTTTTAAATGAGAACTGCACCGTCAGAGTAGTATAATAGTTTTTTTTAATTTTTATTAACTGATGTAGTATTATCTGTGTTGAGATGTTAGAAAATATTTACCATATATTTCGGTCAAATTTTCGGTCTTTAGGAAGTGTAACGAGATCGACAATCCTTACTTTGTCTCAGAGTACGAAATGTTTCTTAATCGTTATATTTAACAGAACAGTGACCCGTCCTGTCTGAAAACCTGAGAAAAGGTTTACTTTATAAGAACCTCTCACTTATTAGTGTAAGCATCCGGACAAGCATCCTGAAACAGAAAATGAATGGCACACGTGTAATGAAAATATATTGATAATTTTGAATACTGTTTATTTATTTGTTTTATTAAAACAAAAGCTTAACTTGACGGGTTTTATTTAAATGTTACAATGTAATGTATAAATGTATAAATTTTCTTGATATCACTGCAGATAAGCTCCAACTAGATTCCGATAACAACTTTAATCCGATCGTCTGAGGTTTACACAGATGTTGATGGGAGAACCAATCATGTTATTTAAGAATGTGATTGCGACATTAAAACCCTGGCCTTTGATAATAAAACGATGGATATATTAAATAGAGTTATTGTAATTTGTTTGGCTGCTAAATCTATCTGTTTCCCAATGAATTTTTTTTATTAATTAGCAAATGTAGGCAAGTATATTAACAATTATTACAATAACTTAGAAAAGATCCAATAACATTCATAATATTAATATTATTATGATTCTTGGAATATTTTTTTTTACATATAATATATGACATAAGTAACGTATAATACTGTCTTATGAGATTCCGATAAACATTTATTAATGTAAACGATTTATGTAAGAAATACTGAATAATAATTTCGATAAACAAGAAGCAGAAGCTATCAATAGAGTAGAACCTAACTGCCTTAGTCAACAGAAAGCTTAACGTAGTCAAGAATTTCTTTTTACTAAGATCACCTGATCATCCTGATCACCGATGATATTGAGAAGTTTTGTCTTCGGACTTAAAGCATAATTGAACAAACACACAAAGTGAAAGAAGAGAGTTACTTTCTAATAGAGATACTTCTTCTAAATTTTTTTAAGGCTTATATGAACCAATATTTTTATCATATCAGAGATGTTATAAAAATAAGTAACCGTTTCGACTCAATGTCTATTAAATTAACCTCGCCTATAATAATATACTTAAATTGCATTATAAAAGAAATGTGTGATATGAAGACAAATTCAAATGCACCGTTAATCAGCTGAGGTATTTAAACTAGCAATTTTACCAAATATAGAGTCATAGACTTAACATATTACACTTTGAAGTTTGTATAAAGCCCATTTCAATCTCAGAGAAATATTCCAGAAAATGTTTGCTAAAAATTATTAATAACATAATAAATTATTAATAACAAATTAATTTAATTTCTGCAGAAAATGTATGTACTCAGCTAATTAAAGCTTTAACTAAAGAAAAAAATATTTATTTATCATAATTTACATTACAGTGTAAAGTTGAGTGGGCGACATTGCCCACTCAGAATCCACACACTTGTGGATTCTAGTATAAGAAGCTGAAGAGGCGTGTTTGAATATATGTAAGAATCTGATTTTCTTATATTATTATTAATAGTATTATTTTAAAATTGTGTAAAAAGAATTTTAATTTTCTTGTAAAATAATAAACAGCCTAATATGGCCTTGCTGATTTACCGAAACCTCCTCTTGCCTAATTGCTTGCCGTTAAAGAAGCAAACCGTTTAAGGATTAGATTCGTATTTGCTTGTTTAAACAGGGAAAGATATTATTCCAATACACCGCACAAGAATCTTTAATAACTTTAAAAATTTCAATTAATCCAAATTAATCCACAAATTAAATGCAATTCCATTTCATCCCATGCACTAACTTACATAGAAAACAAGAACAATTCCAATTGTAAAACGCCGGCTGTACGAAATTCTTATTGGATATTTCCCGTATTTCTCGACATTTTAAGCTGCATTTGGTTATAATTTATTGTGTGTGCATTATTTCGTTAGTTTGTAACAATTGCATTAAGTGAATTATGCTTTACTTGTAACTATGCACAAAATATTTATTTCAACGTTAAAGAAAGACTGCAAAAATCGAATTATTGCAAAGATCAACAAATTCGTTGCAGATATTTTTTCAAGAAAAGCCACAAAACAAATGCGACTAATTCTCATACATTGCATATAGAAATATTGAGAGTATTAGAGTTGCCAATTACTATTAAAATGCTGCATACGAACCAGATTAAAAACTCAGCTACGTCTCAACTACTACGCAATATACACACACACACACACACACACACACACACAGTAAAATTAACATACAGTTCAATATGAATGGCGCAGCAAAATAAAATAAAGAAAACATAATGTTTAAGAAGAAAAAAAATAATACAAAAACAAAAAGTATGGAAAGAACTTTGTGATTGCTTTGTTGCAGTTGTGTAGTTGCTCTGTGGTTATTATCGCTGTGTGTTGTGTTTGAGTTATTTCTTGTTTGACTTTTGTGTGCGGAACATTTATCGCTGAAATTAGTAGTGATCGCTCGCTAGGTTGGAGAAGAATAAACTTGTCGGGGGTTGAAGTTGAGCAGAAAGCAAAAAGAATTTAACGAATGTTAAAATTAACCAACGGGAATTTTAAAACAAAATATTATTAATATTTTAAAATAAAATTGTTTTAAAAGCTGTGTTGTGTTCAATTTTTTTTGAAAT